CGTGTATGGAAAAAATGTGTCAAATTTCGCGGAGAATACTTTAAAAAGCAATAAATACATTTTTAAATAGTAATGTTGTTTCACTTCCTTGATTCCCGAAATTTTCAGTGCCGCCCTCGTATCTGCATCCACACATCACGAATCATATACAAACCGATCGAGTTACTGCCTCTCACTTACCCGCATACCCCGTCCGTACCAGAGCGTGGATATGACGTCACGGCTGCCAGGTGCACAGTTAACTCGACCGGGTTGTAATTGTAATACAGTAGAATCCCGATTATCCGGATCAATTAAAACCAGGGGTGTTCCGGATAATCGATTTCAAAGTAAAATCAAACAATAATTAACTTTTTACAATAGAAAGGGTTTTCAATACATCATTTAGAGTCTAAAAATCTAAATTTTAGACCATTGGATTAATCCACTTCTTTTAAAAATGAACTAAACGACGTCCGTACTGTGTTACGGTCGCGGCGCCTTCCGTTTTTATGGGTCCAGACCTCAAATCGGTAATTACAAATCGTGAAGAATGAGTTCGGATATCCGGATAATCGAGATTCTAGTGTATACAACACATACCATGCGCTGCCCTCGCCTGAGGTACTCGGGGTGCTTGATGAAGCGGAAGCGGACCAGCGCCTTGTCGCCCGTGCGCAGGCAGTCGCGCGACATCGACAGGATCGACGCCGTCTGCCGGATGCTGCCGCAGTGGACTGCAAACAGAAATCGTCGTCAACACTCAACCCAGTAAATGTTTAGCACCCTACTGAAGACGTGCGTGAGAAAATTTTTAACGTAAGAATTTGCTCACGCACGTCACGCGGGATTGTTTCAAACACCTAATCACCCTTAACTCGTATTTTTTCTTATGTCAGAGATACAGATAAGGATACATTTATTTATTGAAAAGCGCAAAATACACAAATAAAGGGTTGACGAATTTATTTACGTCATCAACTCTGCGATCGTAAGCAAACAAATGGGTAATTTTAATCAAGTCTTACCATATGAGTATACTCGTAGTATAATTATCTAAAATGACCAATGAATTTCTCTGCCAGATATAATTATCTATTTGAGGTGTCAAATCAAAAGTTGTACAAGTTCCAAATAGGAGCTTCAGAGCTAAATTAAGACATTAATCTTGTTTTGAAAACCGTGGCAGTGCCAGGTAGGACTAAGCAGTAGGACTACACACACACTCACCCATGGCCTGGTAGCGCGAGGAGATGGTGGTGGGGTGGTGCAGCACGAGGATCTCGCCCTCGAACTGCCAGCACGCCTGCGGGTTCAGCGCCGGCGACACCATCACCATGCCTTTACGGATCTGCGACCGCTTTATCTGCAACCGGAGACTTCATTACACAACACGTTTTACGTGCGTGCACGTGTTACAATACCCGGCGATAAATATTGCACATCGACCTTTAGAAAGAGACAATCGGCTTATTTCGGTTTCGTAGAGCGTTATCACTGTCGCACTTGAAAAATGACTGACAATGACGTTTTGTCAAAGTGTAAACAAACTTTATTTTAAATGTGTGCAATTGATTTTGTGAATTAAATTGCTAAAAACTTTTGATAGTCGTGAAAGAAAAGCTGTTTACAATGTGTTAAAGTATTTGTAGAAGAGAAATACTAAGAGTTCGGACAATAATTTCATTGAATAATGTTTTGTCAATGACGTTTTGTCAATCGTATTGGTAGTGTGCGACAGAGATAACGCTCTACGAGCCGAAATTAACCGATTCTCTTTCCAAAGGTCGATATGCAATATTTATTGCCGGGTACTGTACGTAGTTACGTGCGTCAAAATAAAAACTGTTCAACGCTTTATTGATCGGAGGATGACGTATATGCTGGCACACTGCCGCATATCATTCACTTCAGGGGGCGTAGTGTGTTTACGTAAAACGCATACGTTGTCGACTGCGTAAAAAAGTGACATTAAATGTATGACGGATTGTACAGCGCCCCTAGCGGAAACTTTCAAGAACTAAATTCTTCATATATTTTTTAACGCGCGCGCTAGTGACGACGTTTGATGTAAACTCACACTAAAGGCTTCCACAGACCAAACGCGGGTCAGAAGCAGTGCGGGTCAGTTGCAGCGCGGCTGAGTAACACTGAAAGCAGCGCAGTTTCAAAGCAGTTGCAACGCGGGCGGTTGTCAAAATCTTCTGTCCCGCACCAGCGCCGCCTCGTTTGTCGTTCGGCTTGTATTACAACTTGCGCGGGCCCGCATTCAAACTGCGCTGCTACTGCCCTGCGTTTTGTCTGCCCAAGGCTTAAGCCCTCTGATCAAAGGTCTTCTCCAAGAATTTCTGCAACGACCTGCGCTACGCTTCCGACAACCTCAACCAAACTCATCCTGTCTACCGAGCCACATGTTATTTCGAGCTACAGTGCGTACTCATCGTTTTGCTTCAGTGCGAGACAGGGACTTATGCGAGTCGGTCACGGTGACGTCACCGATCGCCGGCGCACTTCAATACTGCCCGCTGCCGCTATCTGCGTTGTGTGTTAAATTTTTAGCCCTAGGTGGCTACAGAGCTGTGTGCTCCGTCCACTGCCACATACTTATGTAATACAGGGCACAGACTGGCATAAAATTAGCACGTCACACCGGAGGTAGATGGGCCTAAGACGCATCGAACAAGCCTCATTATGTCGATAAAAATGTTTCATGATTGTATACTGGGACTTGCCTTCTTGAGCGCGAAGCTAGCCGTCTGTCCGCCGCGCACCTCGGGCACGGCCATGCGTTTGCGGTGGATGCTCTTGACGGTGATCGGCTGGAAGCGGCCCAGCGGGTCGGGGCCCAGCAGCAGCGTGTCGTTCAGCCGGATCACGCCCGCTAGTGTCGTGCCTGATACCACTGTACCCACACCCTGTAGACAAACAAAATTGATGTGAAAAGGTCCTTGCTAATTTAATTTGTACAGTTATGAAGTTGGTTAGATCCAGTTTATAATTACTTGAATTAAATTTTTTATTTATTTAAGGACAACCAACAAAACATACACCATACATTCATAGTTTCCTTATAAATAAATTATATTAAGGTGTTGCCTTATGTGCAAAAGAAATTAATCAGACGGCCTCAGGTGGAACTTGAAAGAAGTATTTGACCACTGAGCTATCTAATCTGGCTACTGAGCTACATTATCTGGCCATTGAGCTACGGAGATAATGGTAAACCAATCAAAATTTTGATAGAAAGTGTAAACCCAGTATCGTTTTTTAAGTATTACCCACCAAAGTGCAGTCAAGAGCTACAGCAGTAACAACCCAGCCAGTGAAGGCAAAATTTATTTCAGGGTAATGTCATTGATCAGAAGAAAATAGGAAGATGTTAAGTCAAGTATGGTTTAATAATGCGTTCGCGGCTCCGTTTCTACGGCCTCGAAAAACATCGTCGGGTGTTACTAGATAGGCCCTACCGTCCTGGCGGAGACAGTCCTACATAACCAGCTGACCGTCTCCATCGGCCAGTGGGTATGCGCAAAGCAATCCCGACGGAAAAAAATGGTTTAATAATGCGTCAGTTACGTACCGGCACGGAGTAGGTGTCGTCGATCTGGAACTCGGCGGGCTTGTCGTCGTGCGCCGGCATCCGCGTCTTCAGCAGGTTCAGGAACATCGTCAAAAGTTCCAGGTTCTCGCCCGTCACGTTAGACACTTGGAAGATGGGGCATAGCCTGCGAACGACAAGTTCTGTATAATAAAAAAAAACAAAGAAAATCTCCTGGTTGTTTATTTTATAATCACCAACAAGGTTACATATGATGTAACTACTAACTTAACCTAACTTAAAGTCTTAAAGTCTGTTCGCCGAGAGTTGATAAAAAAAATATCAGAGGTTCTAAACTCATTATAAATTGCAGCCCGCTAATTATTTTTGTCGATATAATGAAAAAGTTGGTAGATTATTTGACCTGGCCTTTTTTTTGGCCTGGATTCTCGGCTCGGTTACAATTTAATTTTGGACTACCATTTATAAGAATGTTCTAAAAATACCAAACTTTGACGACAGCTGCGTGGCTCGTACCATGGTACTCAGTGCGCGTTGTGACAAACGACGCCCGCCATACAGAATGCGATAATTAAGCGACAGTCGCTATTGCAAGACATTTCATAATATTTATCAACTCTCGGCGAACAGACTTTAACTGTATGTACCTACTAACTTAATCTAAGAAGATGAAGATGGGGGGGTCCTCCCATCTTCATAGGGTATCTATCACACTATCGTCTTTCGAACATCGCGGCATCGTCGCTTTGCCAGTCTGAGCAGCTACCGAACGTTGCTGCTTAGGATCCGGCGACTGACAAAGAACATGCATTCGTATCAAATTGAGCACGCGCACCAGCAGCTTAAGGTAGTCCTGCTTCACTTTCGTTAAGTTAGTATGAGCCGCGTCGCTCGCACTGACCTCTGCGACACGAAGTTGGTGGCGCTGACGATGACGTCGTCCTTGTTCTTGACCATGACGGGCACCTTGCGGCAGCCGGAGGACTTGAGCACGCGCACCAGCAGCTTGAGGTAGTCCTGCTTCACTTTCGTTAAGTTAGTATGAGCCGCGTCGCTCGCACTGACCTCTGCGACACGAAGTTGGTGGCGCTGACGATGACGTCGTCCTTGTTCTTGACCATGACGGGCACCTTGCGGCAGCCGGAGGACTTGAGCACGCGCACCAGCAGCTTGAGGTTGTCCTGCAGCACGTTGGGCGGGCACATGTCGACCTTCGTCACCACCACGAACACCGGCACCGACAGCGCCAGCGCGAGGCCCAGGTGCTCCTTCGTCATGCCCACTATGCCCGCGTTCGCGCCGATCTGCGAGGGAATGGATACGGTATAAAACGGCTGTTTGACGGTATGATACAGTCACATATTTTATGCAAAACAAAGCCTGAATTTGACTGCAATCACACCAAATGAGATGCAATCTAGGATGGTACACACATTGACAACACAGCAAAATTTTATTTATGTAACAAAATTGTCAACCTTTACCTTTATCAACATTGTTTTGGTGTAATTATTTATAATATCTGTTTAATAAGCACTAACTTACATAATAAGTATGGATACCTAAAACACAGGCAAACATTTTTGCTTAGTTTAGGTATACTACCTTAATTAAAATATTGTTACTAACCAAATAATTTCATAGCCCCATTTAAGTTTCTTGTATTTAGGCTAAGTCTTTATTCAATAAATTTATCTTATCTTATCTTATAGTTATTGAAAATTGTGTTAGGTTTATGAATATTCAGTCTAAACGTAATATTTAGTTAGTATATGTGAACCACTCTCGTTGCTTACGCAAATTCGTCAATTAGACAAATATTAATCCCTCCGCAACTTCTAACGCGTCGAGGGTTGACGCCTAAAATCGGTCTTCGAATTCATTAATTTAAATATCATACCTATAATTTGCACATCTATTTTTAATGGATTTTAAACTTTACTCCAATAATATAACGTTAAAAAGGATGTAGGTACTAATTACATTCTCATTTTGTGTCAACTGTATATTTAGGTTAAGTGTAGATTTAGGGTTTATCCTGTACTTGCCTAATGCGTGTCTTGTCACTCGTCCTTTAGAGGCCTAACTAGGCCATTGTGTTCTGAGCTGGTTTTAAGTGATAGCAAGATTATACACACATAGCGTACCATACACAGAAAGCTAGAATAGGACAATCTTGCCTGCCTCGAGCGATGACGAAGTAATGGTCCGTTTGTCTGCTCTAGGTTGTGTAGGATTCGGATAATGCCCACAAGAAATATTCTTCGTGGCGGTGATGACTCATCTGGTGCCTATACATATTCTGAATATTAACGTTACTTTAAACCCATGATGACGTCAGAATCAAATTGAGCAATTTAAACAGTCTGTATAAGCCCTTTTAGTCTGAGATTCCACTAGCGCTCACATTGTTAAGCAGTGCGCCTGGAAATACTTAAGCTACAAATAGGATTACTATGTTTTCCTAGTATCACAAGTGACCCGAACTGAGCTTTGGACAAAAAAGGGTTTAGTTAAGCGAGATCTTTATACAAACGGCGCTAACGGAATCTGTTTACAAAGAGACCTATGTGTAGGATGCTCAAAGTCTCAACGACAGTATTCCATACTGAATTATTCACTCAACGCAAAGATTCTACGAACTTTCGTTCAAAGACATACTATGCTGCACAGGCTTTCTAATCATCTTAGCACTGTAGCTGCCTCGCGTTCTTTGCTGGAACTCAGTCCTAATATATTATGCAGATATGCTGCTTAAATTCGCGCCACTGCGAGGCGAGGATTCGCGCTTAACCCTCATTATGATCCACCTGGATTTAATAACGCAGCGTTAGAATACACGACGTGCTTAATTCCAAGGTTGTATCATAGAAACAAAGGAATTTACAGAATACGAGTGCGTTACTTAAAATGCATTGTTATAAAATTTGACTTTCCAAATATAATTGGATGGCTCTTCGTAATAATTAAAAGTAGGAAATGTTATTTGAAAGCTTTTGGAGCAGAAAATATTAACTAAGGATNTAAGGCCATAATCATCAACAGCCCTTTACAGTCCACTGCTGGACTATGAGCCTCCTCCACTATAGTGGAGGGTTTTGCCATAATCTCCACGCTTGGCAGGCGGGTTGGAGATCGCAGTTTAAAAGATTGATGTTTTTCAGAGAGCGCTGCTGCCCATTCTCTGTTTGATATGTAGTCCCTAAGTCGCCTCTTACGACACCCGCGGGAAGAGTAGGGGTTGGTGACCATAATATCCTAGTCTAAAGCAAGACTTTTACAAGTTATAGTCGTCTCTGGTCCTATTTTTAAACTCGGTCCAGTGTCTACGTCCAACTTCAGTTTGAGAGACAAGTACTTCCCAAATCCACTCAAGAATATCCCACAGGTATTAGAAAATGTCAATCCAAAGAAAGCTACCTAAGTACTTACTAAGTAATAAACTAAGTCTAAAGCTCACTAATTCTTTGTAACAAGAATTCGATAGAGCACCTACATTTGCATTTACCTAATAGGTAGGGTAAACCAGAGAGTGATTGCCCACTGGTAGTGATTGCCCGCTTTAAGAATAATATTGTCAGGTGCTGACTTTGAATCACTCTAGTTAGATTTAAATTTACCTACTAAGTAGATGGCTCCGAGATCAATGTACAGTAGATTTAAAATTTACAATAGGAAACACTAAAAAAACAGTTATGGCGGATTTTGTCAAGACGGGTGAAAATGTTACTCAAACAGGTAAAGACTTTAACAATTTTACTAAGGAATTACTTGCTTAGAGGTTAAATTTTTTTTGCAAGTTATTTAATATTCAACTAATGGTGTATAGTCATGATTAAATTATAAGTGTTTTCTCCATTATCAATGAAAATAACTGATAAAATTTGNAAGTACTTACTAAGTAATAAACTAAGTCTAAAGCTCACTAATTATTTGTAACAAGAATTCGATACAGCACCTACATTTGCATTTACCTAGTAGGTAGGTATTCATGTTTTCTTAAAAATATTGTTAGGTAAGTAAATAAGTAAAAGCGAAAGTTTGTAAATGAATAGCTGTTTGTAATTCTATCACGCATTAACTACTAGACAAGTTTGATCAATCTTTACAGTTACATAGCTTTTACATTTATCTAACACGATTCACGATATAGATTTATTTTACATTTACGGGTTTTGCTATTGCAAAGTCAAAATTAAATAACGGTGAGACTCGTCAGAATCAGTTAATCAACAATCTTTACTTCGTTTTGTTCAAATTTTTTTTATTTAAAAAATTCCATTGTCACGGACTTGTTAAACGATACGCTTAGGCTGGGTTGCACCAATCATACTTTAAACTTTGACAAACGTCAAAAATCTGACAAACTCCATACAAAAAACACCGGTTATCGTTATAGTTACGGTCAAAGTTAAGTGGTGCAACTCAGCCTTAGGTGTTTACTACAAGGTGGAAGAACAACTTTTGTCACATATTTATATTTTATTTTCAAATGTGAAGTCATTAAAAAAATCTAGTTACATCAACAATAAACATCAATCATCATCAATCACATCTCAGCGCTCATGCGCGAAAGCTTTCTGTTGGCACAGCCTAAAAAATAACAAACAGCCAGATCAACAAAGTTAGATCTTTTGGCTCAATGTGCTGTTGTCTCGCTCGGTTTATTTACAAAAACTGCAATATAACCATATTATTTCTCTTTAGGATCTACCTCGAGCATACACAATCTACCAGGGCAGGTAACACCTATTTACCACACGACGTATTCCACGTCATCAGGCTCACCATAAGCATCCCGAAATCTGGCGCGTGTCCCGTCATGCCGAAGACGGTAGTCTTGAGGTAGCGCTCGTGGCCCGCCAGGTCGATGAACGTGATCACCTTCGACGACTTCTCGCAGATCTTCCCCCAGTCCAGGGTGCTATGATTGGACTTGTTCGCCACTTTTTTTTAAGTCTACTCCTAGCACCTAGTCTGTCCTGCTCTACCGCACCTATTTATCCCGCTCTTCCAATCATCAGACTCACCATAAGCATCCCGAAGTCAGGCGCGTGTCCCGTCATGCCGAAAACGGTAGTCTTGAGGTAGCGCTCGTGGCCCGCCAGGTCGATGAACGTGATCACCTTCGACGACTTCTCGCAGATCTTCACCCAGTCCAGCGTACCGTGGTCCGGCTTGTTCACCACGTTACCTGGACAACATTGATAATGGTAATTTGGGTTCTAATGGTGCGTCCACACTGGGCGAATGTGCTCGCGCGGCAAGCTCGATATCCTGCTCACCCTGCTCTTGAGTGAGCAAGATGTCGAGTTTGCCGCGCGAGCGTGTTCACCCAGTGTGGACGCACCATAGTACTGTATCGTATGACGTCACTTCTAAGTAGAAAATCTACGCAAGCGGGACGATTGTTATCTAGCCTATTGAGACAGTGTTTAACGACTCAGCGGTTAGAGCAGTCGGTCGGCATTCATAAAGTTGTAGTTATAGTCAGATTTCAGGCAGTTGACCTTTTCTATTGAACCTGGCTTCTATTCTAAAGAATAATATGTTGTGTAGTTGCAATTTTTTTCTCAATCAACGATGACATGAAGAAAAGTTTAATGTATAAGAAAAGGGGTTGCAATTTACGCCGTCCACAGGTTGGTTGATGAAATAAACTTGATTCGCACGGGGTATCGTCGGTGGTGTGAGGTAAAGTGGCAGCTCAATGCCGCGAAGGATCACCGCGCTTCCTAGCCGATGGCGGTCGAAGTTGCTGGAATACTATTTTTCTTTCTTTTAACCATAGCTGGGAACTCATAGCTGTAACCTGCTGTAGCTGTTAACCGCCTCTGTGGTCTAGTGGTAAGACCACCTGCTTTAGACGCAGAGGTCCCGGGTTCGATTCCCAGTGGGGGCAGATTTTTCTGTTCGGTTTGGTTGGTGGTAGGATTTGTTCTAAGTCCGTCTGGCTAGCTACTACCATCATCTTACTTAAGTCTGTCGCCATAACAATGTTAACAGCATTGTTGTGTTCCGGCAGTTAGAGGTAAGATAGGCAGTTCCTCCATGGCTGAGGATTCCGGGTGAAGCTCGCTCCCACCTTCGGCTTGATCATCACTTACCATCAGGTGAGATACAGGCCAAGAGCTTCCTCGTCGTGGATAAAATAATGTACATCATATGTTTTTTTTAGATTTTTCATTTTATTATTTTAGAAGTTAGAGGGAGGGGACCAACTTTTTTCCACTTTGGAAGCGTCTGTCACGCAAACTATTCGGTTTAGAAAAAAAGTATTTTAGAAACCTCGATATCATTTTTGAAGACCTATCCATAGATACCCCACACGTATGTGTTTGACGAAAAAAAAATTTTTGAGTTTCAGTTCTAAGTATGGGGAGCCCCCAATATTTATTATTATTTTTTTATTTTTGCATCAAAATCTTAATGCGGTTCACAGAATACATCTACTTACCAAGTTTCAACAGTATAGCTCTTATAGTTACGTAAAAAAATGGCTGTGACATACGGACGGACAGACGGACGGACAGACAGACATGACGAATCTACAAGGGTTCCGTTTTTTGCCATTTGGCTACGAAACCCTAAAAAGCTGTCAAAATAAGCAGCTCACCCATGCTGTCGAAGCCGAGGATGTCGTTGCCGACGGAGCTGGTGCGGCCGCTCTCGAGCTCGTGCTTGTGGCGGAAGAGGCGCTGGCGAGCGTACCCGCGCCCGTTGTCAAGCTCGCCGTGCGTCAACACACCCAGCAGAGTCGACTTGCCCGCGTCTACGTTGCCCACCACCGCCACTCTGTGGGGAGAGAAGAGGCATTGTAAATTATACCTTTTCAACAATGCCTTACCAATACCAATAATATATTACCAACAATAGACAATAGGGGTATTGTAAATTATAACTTTTCAACAATAAGGAACAAAGCTTAAGGGCCCTCGCCCACGGCGATTTTTTGTAGCGATGCAGTCACACTTCTGTAGTGCGTTGCAAATGCGACTAACGCGCGTTAGTAGCGATGCTGTCGCTCGTTTACGATACGCGCGACAAAAAGTCGCCGTGGGCGAGGGTCCTAAGACCGGGCTGCACTTAGTAATGACAGGAGCTGGTGTGTGAGATTCTGAAACCTGTATTTACATATCAAGGGTCTCTATCTCATGGTAAACTAACGCATACGCATCCGATGGTGTTTGCCTTAAAACGTGTGTTCAACATTACACTGTTTTATGTTCTGCTTGAATTACGCGCTATTTACTTTTCTAATCTAATTGCACACAACTTCATTAATTTGTTTTATTGCTATGTAGGTTTATTTATCGGCAATATCAATCAGTTCTTTTTAAGCCTTTGGTGCGCAGCCGAGCATACCATAGTGACGCTTACGATTGCGTGAGCAATATGTGCACTGAAGCGGCTAAGGGTATATCAACAGCTTCATATCAGTTATCGTCGTTAGGCATGAGCATGTAATCAGGAAAACTATTTTCAATATTACTATCGTAATTTTAAAATCACGACCGTTATCGACAACGCAATCAATATGCAATTAAGCGCCATTGTGTAATTGTCAGCATGAGCATTTTTGAATGCAATATCAGCCTAAAATTTTGACACATATTATGCGTCCGTCGTCGCGGGTTATTTTGAACATTATACTTACATATCTTTTTTTCCTTACTTTTATTGGGGAAGGGGATGAAGAAGCAAGCACCTGTGTTGTCTCGTCCATCAGATAGTATGTATATTCAGTAGTACGACCACGAGCACACGATCTTATCGCGTACTCGTCCTCTTAGCGACAGAGGACTCCTCTGTGTCCCACCTGATCTCCATGAAGTCCGTGTGCTCCAGCTCGGCGCGCAGCAGGTACTGGCCGGGCACCAGCGACTGCAGCGTGGCCACCGACGCGCTGCAGTCGAGCTCCGTCCCACCTGATCTCCATGAAGTCCGTGTGCTCCAGCTCGGCGCGCAGCAGGTACTGGCCGGGCACCAGCGACTGCAGCGTGGCCACCGACGCGCTGCAGTCGAGCTCCGTCCCACCTGATCTCCATGAAGTCCGTGTGCTCCAGCTCGGCGCGCAGCAGGTACTGGCCGGGCACCAGCGACTGCAGCGTGGCCACCGACGCGCTGCAGTCGAGCTCCGTCCCACCTGATCTCCATGAAGTCCGTGTGCTCCAGCTCGGCGCGCAGCAGGTACTGGCCGGGCACCAGCGACTGCAGCGTGGCCACCGACGCGCTGCAGTCGAGCTCCGTCCCACCTGATCTCCATGAAGTCCGTGTGCTCCAGCTCGGCGCGCAGCAGGTACTGGCCGGGCACCAGCGACTGCAGCGTGGCCACCGACGCGCTGCAGTCGAGCTCCGTCCCACCTGATCTCCATGAAGTCCGTGTGCTCCAGCTCGGCGCGCAGCAGGTACTGGCCGGGCACCAGCGACTGCAGCGTGGCCACCGACGCGCTGCAGTCGAGCTCCGTCCCACCTGATCTCCATGAAGTCCGTGTGCTCCAGCTCGGCGCGCAGCAGGTACTGGCCGGGCACCAGCGACTGCAGCGTGGCCACCGACGCGCTGCAGTCGAGCTCCGTCCCACCTGATCTCCATGAAGTCCGTGTGCTCCAGCTCGGCGCGCAGCAGGTACTGGCCGGGCACCAGCGACTGCAGCGTGGCCACCGACGCGCTGCAGTCGAGCTCCGTCCCACCTGATCTCCATGAAGTCCGTGTGCTCCAGCTCGGCGCGCAGCAGGTACTGGCCGGTGAGCCCGCTGCCGCACTCCCAGCGGCGCAGCTCCACGCACGACACGCGCTCGCCGCTCACCAGCGACTGCAGCGTCGCCACTGAAGCGCTGTATTCGTCTTCTGTCAGCCCTCGCCCATCTAGTTGGGGAACATATCAAAATGACAATCCGTGGACAGGACACATCGATTCCGCGGGGTTACTCCGGAAAACGTTATCCAAAATTTTGAATGTAGCTATCTCTCTCACGCAAAACGAGATGCCACCGCGAACGAAGGTGACAAAATGACTCGACGTTTACGATTGGACTTTTGCGTGAAAAGACGCTTGCGCAAAGACAGGTATACGCAATAGACATTGGCGGGAAAGACATATGTGCGAACGATACTTTCAGGTCGATGATTTTCATTGCTTATCTATATGATATGGAATTCTTAAAGGTATGTACTACGTCGGCAAATACAAAAAGCCGGCCTAAACGGAAATACATACTTTTTATATACATATTTCAAACTAATTTAGTCTATATTTTTTTGAGGAGGAGCCTGAGTCTCGTTACACAGGTTAACCTTATACGAGAGCGGCACATATCTTGTAATTGTAAAATGTTTATTTAATAAAAGTATTTTCATTTCATTTTCATTTCAATCCTAAACAGCTACATTAGGATATATTTTACTAGCTTTCCGCCCGCGGCTACGCCCGCGTGGAATTTTGTCTGTCACAGAAAAACTTTATCGCGCGCGTCCCTGTTTCAAAAACCGGGATAAAAACTATCCTATGTTCTTTCCCGGGACTCAAACTATCTCTATGCCAAATTTCATCAAAATCGGTTGCGAGGTTTAAGCGGGAAAGCGTAACAGACAGACAGACAGACAGAGTTACTTTCGCATTTATAATATTAGTTGGGATTCCACATTACTGGATTATTTGGCTATCCTCTATCTATGGTATATTATAAACACATGATCCTATTTAATATTGTCACCCTGTATTACTGTGTTTTTGGCAAATAAACGTTTTGAATTTGAATATCAAGTTATTTGTAATTTTACATGACAGTTACGTATTATTTAAAATTGTGTGCTGCAATGTATGAGTCAGTTGAGCATGTCTTTTCAAAGAAATTATTATCAAGAGATAAAAATATTATAAGATAATACAAATTATCTTTAAAATATTGCAATCAACTATCAATTAAAGTGGTGTGTAGCAAGAAAACATTAAGCAGATAAAGTTAACAATGTTGTTGAATGAATGAATAAAAAGTTTTTAAACTTATCTTAAAAAGTTTTTTTTCAATTCAACTATGTATCAACAAAATAAAACAACCTTTATTTTTACCATTCCAAAAAGATATTAATTTAAAGTTGTAGTTGGTTCGCAAAACCACTTATAACTGCACACTTAATGCTATTGATCTACTAATTCTTTTGAGTGGTGCAATAGCAGCAGCTAATAAATAAATAAATAACATAAATTAATATTAATGGACAAATTACAAGCTATAAGATAAAGCCATTTACCTTCCCCTAGTCCAATATCATATATAATTTCTCCATTTCCAGCTTCTAACCTTTCCAGAAGCTGTTTCCTTAATAGTTCATATTCATCGGCAGTGGGGCTGACCAGGATCATCTGCAAGTTATGCAATAGCCCTTAATTTTACATCACTTAAAGTCTAATATTATGAATATTGCAGTAAACTACTTCTCTTCTTAAGAAGACTTTAATTTGATGTATTATAATAATTGGTGAAATGAAAATGATATAGGCACAATAAAAAAGATGTTCTTTTTGTTTTTAAAGATAAGGATTACTAATAATTGCTATGTTACACCATAATGTGTCACAGTTGCATCTAATATTATTTATTACATCACATTTGATTGATTTTTTTTTACAAAATTTAGAATCCAAATACTTAGAATAGAAAAAAAACTATAATCACACACAATTAGCACTTATTGTAGTAATGTAAGTACTGATAACAAATACCATAAATCCTGTTGCATGATGCAACTGGGTGCAAATGTTCATAAACAGACAGTCATGTTTTATTTAACATACAAAATTAAAATAATGTGTCTAGAATAAAACAAGAACAAAGAGAACATCAAATGTCAGCATAAAACAATGTTAACTTACTAAGTTTTTGATGAATGCAAACACTATAAACAATAATAAATATGAAAAAGTATAGAGAGATGAAACTAAGAATACTCCAGTAGATGTGCAATGATAGTCATACCTTGCCCCTGATGCTGGAGTAATCTGTCTCACTTTCCACATATCCCTCGGCCTCCCCCGAAGGGCTCGTCTTCACCGGCGAATCGAGCATAGTATCCATAGTTTAAGAGATACGTTCCTTTGCAATGCTCAATAACAATTACACATTATGTCATCACATCACTTTCTGTTATAGTGCCACCTCCTAAAATCATACTTAATATATCAATAAAGGATGATTGTTAAACTGTGTTGATAAAGTAAGGCAGGAAAGGTTCAAAAACTCCAAAAGTGCGGACTAATCGAAATACCCTAGGACAGGAGTTAAGTCCTTAAAAACAAAATGCGATTGTTTGGATATTAAGCACTACAGAAGCACAATACTATAAGTACGTATGTATTCAAGAACCTCATACATAAATTATACAAAGAAACTCACTTAATTACCAATTTATACGGAATTTATGTTATGAAAATAGATTTCAGCAAAATAAAACAGATGGAACTCATGCCAACATTTTGACAACTCAGCCAACTTGACACTTTCCTTCCCACAGATTATCGAGCTTATAAATAAAACATGGGTCCAACGACCATGTCACCTGTAGCGAAATGTCATCGTGTGGTTGGCAACACTGCTTTCGCTTACCAACATAAAAAACGGTCTGGTGAGGCTGCCGCTAGATGACACTTCGTACTATAAAACTCGCCCGCCAATTATAAATAATTGTGCAAGTAAAAATGTATCTGTGTCTAAGCTTATAAATAAACTTCGTTATCAAACTTAGTGCGAGTTATATTTTCGTAGAATCTCTACAGAAGTCACTGATACAAGATGTTTTATGGTGCCCATCAACCGGCACCAAATTGGTGACCCCGACGCGTCCGACCACGAAACGAGTGCTTCGAATTACTATTGCAATCAGCACTGTAAATACATCATGCTACGAAATTAAAACACCACAAGTTGATTAATTCATCTTCAACATCGGCTGAATGAAATGGACGGGTTTTGGCTGTGCGAGTAATACAAGTAACCAAACCCATATCCAGTGTTTCAAGAGTTAAAATCAATCAGACTACGTAATGAAGCAAGATTTAGGACTTCTGTTATGAGGATCATACAGTGAAAAGGACACGCAAGTAGTATCATACGTATTAAATAGTTTTTGTAGTTCATTAATGTGTACACTACGGCATAGTGGTCTGTTTTTGTTTTGCCGCCATTGTCCCTACAACTGAACAGCTGTGTGTGTGTTTACATTGTCTATTGTCTGTAACTTTTTAAAGTTTTTATTTTTTTCAAAGAGTTTTGTTCTTGCTATTCAAAATTCTGCGTTTTGTTATTGCACAAAAAAAAGTTTTTTTTTCTTTGCTTTAATTAATTTCATTATTTTCTCATAAATTATATAATTTTATTTTTAAGAGTAATCTAACTAGGTTTGAAATATGGCAGAATTTAAGGTATTACAAGATCGTTTGGAAGAACTTTTAGTTCAGAATAACGCACTGCTGCAACAAAATGCGGATTTACAAAATAGGCTTTCCGCGCAACCATCTGCAGTTTCACCGCAAGTAAGCGATGTCCCCAAATCATTAGCAATCAGCCCAAAATTGGCCCCATTTTGGATAGACCGTCCCGCAGCTTGGTTTGCTCATATAGAGGCGCAATTTGCTTTATCTCAGATTTCTGCCGATGAGACTAAATATAATTATGTTGTAGCCCAGATTGACTCCAGACTAGCGAATGAGGTTGAAGACCTCGTCACAAACCCTCCACCTAAAGGCCAGCGTTATGATTGGATCAAGAGAGAAATGATAAGTCGGTTTTCAATTTCGGAAGCTCAGCAAGTTAGGCAACTCATTTCGGGGGAGGAAATAGGAGACCGCAAGCCAACGCAGTTCCTTCGTCATCTGAGATCTCTGGCAGGTAAAACTCTTTCAGATGACACAATTTTGCGAGAACTTTGGTTACATCGTTTACCTTTCAATATACAAGCCATTTTAGCCACCCAAGCTGAATTGCCCCTGGACAAAATTGCAGAAATTGCAGATAAAATCATTGAAGTGTCCCCAATCACTGTAAGTGCTGTTAAAATGCCTTCTCAAGCGTTTGATTTAGCCGAAATTACCTCTCAACTGCAAACTCTTAGCAGTCAGGTAGCCGCTCTTTCCACCCAGCATCAGTCAAGAAGGGACTTCTCGCGAACTCGCTCGAACTCGGGTTCTAGAGCATCATCTTCATCTAGAGCACGGCCTTTCTGTTGGTATCATTATCGTTTTGGACCGAAGGCTAAAAAATGCATAGAACCGTGTTCCTGGTCCTCTTCGGGAAATCAAGACGGCAATCAGTGATGGCGACATCTGATTGCAGTTATACTAGTCGCCGTCTTTTCATCACGGATAAAAATAGCAAGGTACAGTTTTTACTCGATACAGGATCTGATCTGTGTATATTTCCAAAAAAATTCTTGAAGATTCACCACAAACCCACAGGGTTTCAGCTAAGTGCAGCTAATGGCTCTTCAATTAATACTTATGGTTGTCGCACATTAATTCTCAATTTCGGACTAAGACGTGATTTTAAGTGGAATTTCGTTATTGCAGATGTGGATATGGCAATCGTGGGATCTGATTTCTTAGCTTATTATAACCTTTTACCTGATTGTCGACATAAACTTCTAAGAGACGGTAGTACAGGGCTAACATCNACGGAGAGAGTAGAGATGGGTTTCCACCCGGGTAAAAACCCACATGAGGGTAAAAACCCAATAAAAACCCGTTTCATTCCACCCGTGGGTGTTTACACCGGGTGAAAACAAATAATTTTGTAATTATTTCAATTGGTATCTTTTCTTTATTTTTATTGAATTTTTCTCATTTAAGTTTATTGATTAATAAATAATAAGTTAAATTTAATACTAATATGCATTTATATCGTGGCCAAATCGTAAAATTGATCACGTTATGATGATGTGACTAATTATTTTATAAAATGGTGTTATTTCAAGAATCGTTGAAGGTGTAGCGAAATGTCATCGTGTGGTTGGCAATACTGCTTTCGCTACCAACATGAAGACTCGCTAGGCAGGCGGCCGCCAGATGACACTTCGTACTATTAGACTCGCCCGCGAATTATAAATAATTGTGCAAGTAAAATGTACTGTGTTTAAGCTCATGAATAAACCACGTTATCAAACTTAGCGCGAGTTATATTTTCATAGAACCTCTACAGAAGTCACTGATACAAGATGTTTTATGGTGCCCACCAACCGGCACCAAATTGGTGACCCCGACGCGTCTGACCACGAAACAAGGATACAGTGCAAATACATTACTGTATTATTACATTACTGGGTGGTGGGTTTAAGAAGGCTAGAGTTAAAATCGGATGAAATATACGCAGGCAGGCGGCCGCCAGATGACACTTCGTACTATTAGACTCGCCCGCGAATTATAAATAATTGTGCAAGTAAAATGTACTGTGTTTAAGCTCATGAATAAACCACGTTATCAAACTTAGCGCGAGTTATATTTTCATAGAACCTCTACAGAAGTCACTGATACAAGATGTTTTATGGTGCCCACCAACCGGCACCAAAAACCGATTTAGAAGAAATTTAGTAGGAACACAATAATTTGTGATCATGGCAAGGACATGGAGGGCTTCTTGATTTGCAAAAAGCATTAGAATTTAATAATTCAAGCTGTAAGCTGGCTCAGTGTTGGGGTTGGCCACCCAGTCTACTAATAGTTGTAGTTTAAATGGGTATTTATTAAGAAACTCGTACCAGAAAGAGTTATCGTTCGATTGTGGTGATGCTAACAACGTATTTTGATTGGTAATGTTTGCGATTGGGGCTGACGGGGCCGCCGTTAAAATTGTATAAGATGGAAGTTAAAGACGCTATGAAGAACTCCGAGCAAGCTCGCCCCCAGGTGACTAAAATGGCGGCAAACGGAAGTAAGTCAAATCAATTCCTATTAAATAATTGCGGAAATGACGTCATTTAAGGTATAAAAAGGTAAAAAACTACACCGGAAGTAGACGCATCTCTCTCACCAGATGCTGTGCATCGTCACATGCCGAATAATAAATATTTTTATTTTAGACCATGTAGCTAGGTAGTTTTTTTTTAAACTTTTCTTTCTGCTGCTAGGTAAGTAAGTAGGTAAGTAGTTGCGTCTGAAAACGATAGAAGTTTTTGCAGGTTTCGTTTCAGATAAGTAGGTACAAATTCGAGGTCTAAGTACAAGTATTTATTTACATTATGAAAATGAGAATGCTCATGACTAAAAAGAAAATACGCTACATAATTATCCGAACCCTTACGCCAATCCTTAAAATCTTCGAAGCCTACTAGCACAGTAGATAAATACTGTGCTACTAGTAAATCCACCACTGGAGAGCCTGCTCCTCCGTTACTTAAATGTTATTTTTATCTAACTTATAATAAATCTGTAGAGAGGTCAATTCTGTACATGAAATATATTTTCAAAATAACTATCAGGGGGTGATTACTGATTAGTGATCGATACTGATGCCAAAAATGCAATCAGTAAAATTTTTGTCTGTCTGTCTGTATGTTCAGAAACAAAAACTACTCGACGGATTTTAACGAAACTTTGTACAATTTTTCTTCATACTCCTGGGCAGGTTATAGTATACTTAGGAATTCCCACGGGAACGGGAGTTAGCGGGAAAAAACATTTGTATGAAAAAATCTAAACCGCGTAAGATAGATGAAGGGGGTAAAACGGGATCCACGCGTACGAAGTCGCGGGCGGCCGCTAGTAACTTAATAAAATCTTAGATGGAATGAACGAATGGAAAATATTTTTTAAAATAAATAGAAAACATTTACGTGCAAGTACCTTTTAAGTAAGTAATAGCTTTAAACTAATACCAACCTACCTTTTTTTAGGGTTCCGCAGTCCTGACAAGGAACCCTTATACTTAGTTTCGATATGTCTGTCTGTCTTTCCGAGGTTTTGCTTGGAAACTATTTGCACTGGAGAGAGAGAGCTGTAATTTTGTGGAGGTAAGTATGTATATTAATCACGCCGACAAAACAGTACCATAAAATTTAGAAAAAAACATTTTTAGGTTAGCTCCCCTACATGTAAAGTAGGGATGATTTTTTTTTCATCTTCTACCCCATCGAGTGTGGTATCGTTTGATAGGTCTTTTAAAATTTGCAAATTATTAAAGTTTAAAGTGCTAATTTTTGTTCGAGTAGAGTCCCCCCCCCCCCTAAAAACTATACTTTAACGGTTAAGATGCATCAGTTAGTTGAGTAATAGTTATTTTACTCATGCCTATTATAAAAATTCTTATCTAGTAAAAATTCCTTAGAAGAAAATATTAAATACACAGCGCAATTACACAGAGCAAATACGTAAGTATCTTAGACGTTAGGAGGCATTTACCTTAAGATGTCTCCATTTAGATTGCAGCTCGAAGTGCATGAACGTTAGCTAGCAGTAACAACTATAATTCCCAAGCCGAATTATTAAAAAAAAGGCATCAATTTGATAGCTGTCAACAGAC